TTTATTGGCTTTAATTCTTCTATGTAGAACTGAAAGCCATGCATTTATTACACGTCTTAGCAATAACATTAGGGCCAAAAACAATTTAAATCCTTCAGGTAGGTGTGACTCTTGCTGCCAACTTTTTCACTAGCCCAGCCGGCTCGGAAATTTTCATTCACCTCATTGTCAAAAATTTATAGTCCGGAGTACTTTTCTATCAATTGGCACAGGCCCTCTGCATAAAGTAAGTAAAAAATAAAGCCATCCACAAAAATTTCAGCATTTTAAAATAATTTTACGAATCGTTACCAGGGTTTGAACAAAAATCTTTTTAATCACAAAAGTAAGACAGTATTTTGACTTTAGCCACCTTTAACTCAGCAAGCTCCGATCATATAAGTGCTATGTTGTTTAACGCGTACTTGAATTGTCTTCCGAAGTACTTGTCAGTTTAGTCATGGAAGAAATCATACCCCGCAACACAGAGAAAAATACCATTATCTAAAAAAATGTCCAAGGAAGAGGTAGACCAAACTAACTCTCCCCTATACATACTTGAGTTACTTGTTGTTTTTTAAGATAAGTTTTTATAAAAAATGCTATAGAACCAAGAAAAAATTAAAAAAATGCCGCACTTTAGAGCGTATGTCTTTATTTTGAAAAAAGGGTGCCCATAAAAAAATTTGGATGTTGATATTTTTAAGGACCACCCTAGTGTACATGTATCATACATGTATTTGCTATATATGTTACGCTGTCTCTCAGGGCCACTGTGTGAATAGGTGAGAGAATTACTGAATGCAGATCATATTTCAATTTAGGCGCGCTTTCATACAATTTTATTTCCTACTTTATTATCTATTTAATACATATGCATACATTTAATCAATCGAAATTCAACACACATGCATGCATACATATAATTATGTAAACACTTTCGCCACAATTAAGTACTTTAACGTCTTCCTTAACCCATTCACTGCACGCATAGTTGAAAAGAATCCGAATAAATTTCGCATTGATAATCGTGAGCTATTGAGTCGGCGCCATTTCATCGACAACACGCGCGATGAAGTCAAGCAGATGAAAGAGAAGATGAGCCTGAATCGGAACAGGGACAGAGATATAACGGCACATCAACCACTACTCGATGAGCATAATCAGAACGAACTCAATCATCAAAACAATCAGAACGGCAACGGCAACAATTGCAACTACAACAACAACTATAATAACAGCCTAAACAACAGTAATCATCACAACAATCATATTCATCATCATCACGGTATCAACGATAAAACCTATCTGGTCGAGTGCCCGAACGGTGGCATAGGTGGCGGTCTATTACAGCAAAATTCTTTGATAACCAGCGGCAGTGGTGTAGCTAATACAATTGCTGGCACAATGGCAGCAGCGGCACAACGTCACAGTGGTACAAAGTACTCCAAATTGGAGAATACGGTCGACAGTCCGGGTCATTATCCATCGCTGGATAGTCCGGGACATCGATTTGTGGGCGAAACTGTGTCGGTGCAGCAGCGCATGATGCAGGGGCAGGACGAGCAGCTAGATATGATAAGTGATTCCATTGGAACGTTAAAGACTGTGTCACGTCAGATAGGCGTGGAATTGGATGAGCAGGCTGTGTAAGTGGTCAATATAAAGATTTGAGATGTATGTACATATGATATGAAAAAAATACATATATTCCTTCTAACTTCTCCGCAGCATGCTCGATGATTTTGGTAATGAATTTGATACAACGGAATCCAAATTGGATACAACCATGAAAAAAGTTGCCAAAGTATTGCACATTAATAATGGTAAGTGGGAGATGTATTTTCGTTACACTTGCATACTATCTATTGTTTTCTCTCTTCTTTGGCAGATAAACGTCAATGGGCCGCTATATTCATTCTATCCGCGCTTTTGTTACTTGTGATAATTTTATTTATAGTTTTGTAAATTTTGCGCTAAGTAAAAAATTTCTGCATCATTGTTGACATTTATTTGCTAATTATTTATATTTAAAACGAGTAATACTAAATTTGTATGTATAACTAAATAGCCTATTCAGAATTTGTATTTGTTTTATTTAATTTATTGCTAGCAAATTTTAAAAGCAAACAGTTACTACATATAATAAACGTCCAGTATAACTATTTTGTTTACATATGTAAGTAAGAGAATTCTTAAATTCGCTATCGTTAAGGCGGCCTTGTCTAAAGTCTTGGAAAGTTCCTTCCAAATTATTAGTCGGTAAGTTTGTCGTAAGTTGAAAAGACAAAATTGCAATATGAAAAAGCGAGTCGTTTAAAAGAAACATCTAATGTCTCGATTTTCCAGCTAAACACACTCTGGATTTGAAATCAGTAAATAGTATGTTCGGCAGTGTTTTACTGGCTCAAGGCTCGAAAACTGAACTACATATACAGGCTCCACACTTACATAGAAGCGGTTTCTAAAGTTACTCGGCGGTTATTTCTCTGCTATATGCAGTTGTGTAGTAGAATGTTTGGCAAACAATTTATATAAGACGTCGTTGGAGCCATTCTGATTACGAAAAGAAGACTAGTAGTTGTAATTATCGACGCCATTTTGGCAGGTAATTTTATATTCTGCACTACAAACTTGCACTAACAATTCTGTAGTAATGTGCGCCTACGGATAGGCAACAATTCCTGAAAGGCACTTACTGAATTATCTGCTGAAGAACTAACGATAGCGAATTTAAGAGTGGGTACTACATAAGAAACTCTGATTGGTTTGGTTATTTAAGAATTTTTATTAATATACATAAGTATAGTTTACTATTTATTGTTAAAGTACATTTAACCGTTATTAACTGCTGCGAAAGGGCATTACTAATTAAAGTTTACCTAACCTCTTTCTCTTCAAGCCCAATTGTTTTAAATTTTCAAGTTTTCGTAACTATTACTTTTACATTATTTAATTTTTGGTTTAGCCAATTCAACAGTTTACTACCATATTTAATACAAATGAATCTTTTTCTCACTTAGTTTTAAAACCTTTCTGCAATTCATATTCACATACATACATACAGTTACTTAAATAAAGTTGTATCAAGCGGCGTGCAAACAAATATACATACATATTTAAAAATTCATATAAATCGTTATTTTGTCTTCAAATTGTCATATACACAATACCGCACATATATGTAGCAAACAATGAATAACTGTACTACTACTAAAAACAAAAACAAGCAAACGAATTAATATAAAGTAATTCCAATTTTAAATTTAAAAGAAAATTTGTAAACCCAGTCAAAAACGCAAATGTATCATTTTAGTTGCAATTACTGCAATTCGAGTAAAATATTTATGTAAAAAGTATATAAATTGCGCATATATGTACACATGTATATGCATTATATGGTATGTATTTATTTACGCAAAAGTTGTATGTAACTTTAAATTTCAGTCAAATACAAAGTAGTGAAAAATTAGAATCCATAAAACACTAAAAAGCTATAATCGAAATTTGAAATGTATCTACAAAGGAATTCAATTGCGAAAATATATACTATATATATACAACCACTATATACAAAATACGGCTATTTTTCTTTTACGTAAGCCAAATTTGGATTGCGAATATTGAAAAAAAAAGGAAATTATTAGCAACCCAATAAACACTGGGCTGGGTTAACAATTCGAAAAGGATTAGAAAACAAATATTTATTCAAGTCTCACCTTCGATAATGAATGTGGAATGGTATGAGTTCGTTCTCAGTTCGATATACATACTAGATATCGCAGGTCATTAATTTGGAATGTTCGCCACAATGTTTATTAGGAAGGAACATAAAAATTGATTTGAAGAAATATGGTAACGTTATAATTATCGATACGTTTTGCTAAGAATTGTCCATCTCTTAAATTTAAGTGAAGGGGCCAGTTTTTTTTTAAAGGATTGGAATTGTTATCCAACCTGGTTTTATACCTATCACTGAATTTTTTTATTTCATCTTTGCCGGTATATATGTATTTTGGGATCTCTTTGAATAGTATGGTTTGACACATACCATAGAGCATTTGTTATTGACCTTAGAGTTTTTGATTGAACCCGCTGTATTATTTCAATCCGTCCTACGTTGAATATCATCATCGTCAGTAAAAGTGACAATACGGCAATCGTCAGCCATGTTACCGATGCGCTGATGATCGTCGACGATGACGATGTCGATATTTAGCATAGGGCCGAATATTTGAATTGCTTGCCGTTCACCATATTTGTATCGCATAAGTCCAAATGGGTTTTATAATGGTTTTAGATATATATACAAATAGTGGATTTGCTGTTTGCGCGGGGTGAAGTTAGCCAGCCAGAACTCCCAGCTGCAGAAAATATACATTCCACATAATAAAGCTTATTTCCACATTTGAAGAACATTTGATAAATAACCTTTGAAATTGATTTGAGAAGTAACCATGTTCTCAAATGAAGATCAAATTCCCCCGTTTTATTGTGAAAGCTATAATTTTCAAATCGATATAAAATTATTTTCAAACGTTTGACATTTGATAAAGTGCACTGATTTCAAATCATTCTCAAATGCATGTCAAACCTAATTGTTTGCTGGGTACATACATATGTATATGAATGCACAATTGGGTGTGGAAAAAGTGAAGTCAGAATTTTAATGCTCTCACCCCCTATGATTCTTCTAAATCGAAAAAATTATACCCGTTTTTTTTTTAAGTAAAAAATATTTAGAGGTTGCTCGAAGCGCTCATAGTTTTCCATCCATTTTACATGGAAATTGTATAATACGACAATTACGACACCGTTGTGAATACCCCAATTATTTTAATATTAGCCGTCATCGATTCGCCAACAGTTAGCGAGTGGCGAAACGAACGAACTCAATGAGGTACAACCAAATTCGCTATCGTCTATCCGTGCTAGCTAACTTTGTTTTATAGGACCCTAAAAACCTCAAAACTACAATGGGGCACACAGAAAAATTGCTAGTGTTGAAAAATGGTCTAATAAACAATTGGGATTTATTTTTGGAATTCTCCTGAAGAGAAAAAAAGGTTTTTGAACGAAAAATATGTTGTTGCTTTCACATGCAAAATTCTTCTTTAGGCGACCGGAACTGCAACATAGCGAGCATATAAGTGGTGAATTGATGACGGCTGAAGTAGCCTCCGCTAGAGGGCTACTGATTTCCTTCCAATATGACCGGAAATGGATAGTTATTACAGATAGCTATCGATTGCAAAACTTTTGTTTACAATTTCCCACGCTACACTTGTTGATAACTTATTATCGATAGATGGCCTTGCATTTCTCGGTCCCCATAGACACCAATGCAAATCGAATGCATTTCGATGATTTCATACAAAACCCAAACAAAACTTGTGAAGAATTTTTTGCTGTGGAAATTTGTAATTGAAAATTATTTAACATGAAGCGCGTCAAGAACACCACCAGCAAAACTGCACAGAGCAAGAAAGCCAAAGCTATTTCTTCAAATGAAAGTGATGGCGGCAGTTCACCGCTTCCCGCAGTTAGTGAGGAACGAGAGAAGGCAGCTCCGAGCACGCAGTACATCGATTCTTTGCAGCAGCGTCGTTTGGACACAGCAGACAGCACCTCTGAGTTTCAATTTAATAAAAAACGTGTGCGTGTGCTTAGTTCTGTAAAGGAGGTAAGTGAATCGCGGTCCGGTGGGGTACTGTATTGGATGTCACGCGATGCACGCGTTCAAGACAATTGGGCATTTTTATTCGCACAACGCTTGGCTTTAAAATTGAAATTACCGCTTCTGGTTGCCTATTGTCTCGTGCCGAAGTTTGTAAATGCTACACTACGCCATTATAAGTTCTTATTGGGCGGTTTGGAAGAAGTAGAGCTCGAATGTCGCAAACTACAAATACCTTTCCAATTATGCTTAGGATCGGCCGTAGAATGCTTGCCAAAAGTGGTGCAATCGCAAAACATCAGTGCCGTTGTGTGTGATTTTACGCCGTTGCGCGTCCAAACACAGTGGGTGGAACAGGTGAAAGCGGCGCTACCTGCAGACGTACCTTTCACACAAGTAGATGCACACAACGTCGTACCACTATGGGTGGCCTCTGACAAGCAAGAATATGGAGCTCGTACTATACGTGGAAAAATTAATTCAAAACTATCGGAATTTCTCACCGAATTTCCACCAGTAATTAAGCATCCTTACAATAAGACCATAATGGCAAGCAGCAAGCAAGTAGATTGGAAAGCGGCTGAAGCATTCTTGCGGTGTGAACGTTCAGTAGATGCTGTAGAATGGGCAAAACCGGGCTACTCAGCGGCATGTGACCAATTAAAAAGCTTTTGTACAAAGCGTTTGCGCATATTTAGCGAAAAGCGCAATGATCCAACCATAAATGCCTTATCTGGACTCTCACCATGGTTTCACTTTGGTAAATATGCTAACTGAAAAAGTCACATAAGATGATATATGTAGTTCTTTACTTTATCCTCTTCAAAACCGACTTGTTAAATAATGCATGTGATTAATTATCAATTCATAATTAAATTTAAAAAGCAAATAAAAAATAATTGGAAATAATAAAAAAAAAATCAAATTTAATCAAAAATAATCAGAATAATAATGGCATTAGTTTTTTTAATTATTTTTGACCATTTCCAACTATTTTTTTAGTGGCAAAAATTAATTTTTTTATTCTTTCTAATTATAATTAATAATTAAATACCAGATTACAAAGGGAAATTAAAATTACCATTAAAATTACCAATGACAACTAATCATAATGATTTTTAATCCTAATCGAAATTAAACAGCTCTGCTTCAAATTATTTCAAATATGTATGTACCTAAACTCAATTTATGTACATTTACCATTACCATTAATTACCATTAAAATTACCAATGAAAACTAATCATAATGATTTTTAATCCTAATCGAAATTAAACAGCTCTGCTTCAAATTATTTCAAATATGTATGTACCTAAACTCAATTTATGTACATTTACCATTACCATTAATTACCATTAAAATTACCAATGAAAACTAATCATAATGATTTTTAATCCTAATCGAAATTAAACAGCTCTGCTTCAAATTATTTCAAATATGTATGTACCTATACTAAATTTATGTATATTTGTTAGGTCAAATTTCCGTTCAACGTTGTGTTCTAGAGGTATTGCGTCACAAATCAAAATACAAAGCATCTGTTGAAGCCTTTTGCGAGGAGGCAATCATTCGTCGTGAATTGGCAGATAATTTCTGTTACTACAATGAACATTATGATAGTCTGAAAGGCCTGCACGCCTGGGCGGCTAAAACACTTGATGACCATCGCAAGGACAAGCGCAGTCCTTCTTACACACTAGCCGAATTCGAGCAGGCGCGTACGCACGATGATCTTTGGAATGCTGCACAGATTCAGTTGGTTCGCGAAGGCAAAATGCACGGATTTCTGCGCATGTATTGGGCGAAAAAGATATTGGAATGGTCTGCTACACCCGAAATGGCTCTAGAAACCGCCATTCTTTTTAATGATAAATATAGTTTAGATGGACGAGATCCGAACGGCTACGTAGGTGAGTGTAAAGATGAAATTAGTAGAAATAGTGTATGTATGTAATAAATAAAAATACATACAAACAAATAAATTTTTTTTTTCAGGTTGCATGTGGTCAATTGGCGGTGTGCACGACCAAGGTTGGGCCGAACGACCAATTTTCGGAAAAGTGCGTTACATGAATTATAAAGGTTGTCAACGAAAATTCGATGTTGCTGCCTTTGTAGCGCGTTATGGTGGCAAAGTATATAAATCAAAATAAAAGTATTTATTGTTTTAAAAACAACTACATAGTAGTACCTAGGTAGTCCTCTAAGCTGTTGCTTGAATTGTTTTTGTTATTAAATCCCATTTACTAATATGCACGCCGAATCTCGAAGAAACATCTACATACGTACCTACAAAAATTTGAACCTTTCAATCTAAAAATATTTTTGTACACTATTTTTATAAATTTTTGTCTTGTGCTATCAGAAACTTAATAANAGGAGTATGGTGGGAGTGTCATTGATAAAATTAGAGCGAGAGAAAGTTTTTCTTACAAAACCTTTCATTATTGAATCATGATAAAGAATAATAGAAAATCTATACCATTTTTACTTTCCGGATATGTTTGAATAGCAAAGCTTTATGCGATTCCTATGCATTCAGGAATTATCAGCATTAAACACTTTGCCTATGATTTTATTACAAAGTATTTTGTATATAAAAGAGCGGAAATCCGTTTCATGCCCAATTTTTTTTACCAAGAATTTGTAAAGTGCAATGCGAGTAGATATGGTGCAAAGTGTCGATTATTTTAATCGATAAACTGGGCTTTTCAAGAATGGCTTCATTCTAAAAAGATACATATGGTATAAAAAGTGTTAAGTTTAAATTTTTAGCTGCATAGGCAATACACACATATATGTATGTAAGTACTATATAAGTTAAGGCAAAAAATAAAATTGGAAGTGCAATTAGTAAAGAATTTTCTATAGTAGATATATCAGTTATCGATAATAAAGTAACTTATAAAAATTAAGAATGCCGTTAGTGCAACCAAATAAAGCTTTCATCTCTATAAAATAAACAGTTGTGAAATAGATGGGCGCGCATTCAAATACAATTTGGTAAATATATGAATTTTGCGAAGGTAATAATTTCTACCAGCAGTGTTAAATAATACATATCCATTAACAGGAATAAGCTCATTTTCTTAGGAAGTGTCTACGCTAGTTTTTACCAACGATAAAATGAAGCGTACAATGAGTAAAACTTCCAATGAGATTCATGGCATAAACTCAAATCCATCTTCCAACGAAAGTGATGACGATGAGACGAGTGACGTAGAGGCATTCGATCATACTCCAAGCAGCGAAACCGATAAAAGAACGTCACACATCATATCACCAAGGTCTCTCCAACAACGCCGTTTGGACACCGCAAGGAGCATTTCCGAATTTCATTTCATCAAAAAGCGCGTTCGTGTACTAAGTTCCGAAAATAAAGTAAGTGAATCTCGTTGTGGAGGTGTTCTCTATTGGATGTCACGCGACGCACGCGTTCAAGATAATTGGGCATTACTATTTGCTCAACGTTTGGCACTCAAATTCGAACTACCATTTCTAATTGCGTTTTGTCTCGTTCCTGGGCATCTGAACACTACACTGCGACAGTATGAATTCCTAATGGGCGGTTTGGAAGAAGTAGAATGCGAATGTCGAAAACTTAGCATTCCGTTTCACTTATTAATCGGCCAAGTCGATGAGCGCTTGTCAGAAATGGTGCGCTTGCACAACATTAGTGCAGTCGTATGTGATTTCAACCCATTGCGTGAAGCACAGCTTCATGTGGAAAATGTAAAAAAAGCGCTGCCAGTAGATGTTCCATTTACCCAAGTCGATGCACACAATGTGGTGCCGCTGTGGGTAACATCAGATAAACAGGAATTTGTACCTTTCTTTATGCGCCGAAGAATTAACTCGAGACTGGAGGCATTCCTTACTGAATTTCCACCAGTAACAAAGCATCCTCACAATAAATGTGTGATGATTAGCTGCATATCTGTGGATTGGAAGGCAATTCTATCTACGATTCAGTGCGATCGCTCGGTGCAAGCAGTAGAGTGGGCAAAACCAGGTTATCGTGCGGCATGCTTGCAGCTACAAAGCTTTTGTACGAAACGTTTACGTCTTTATAACGAAAAACGCAACGATCCTACCATAGATGCGCAGTCTGGACTGTCGCCATGGTTTCATTTTGGTATCGGAATAAGGATGTAGTTTCATAAAATGGCTTTTACTTAATAGTTATAAATTGGGTTTCAGGTCAAATTTCTGTACAGCGTTGTATTCTTGAAGTGATGCGCTACACCTCAAAATTCAAAGCATCTGTAGAGACGTTTTGCGATGCAGCTATCATTTATAGAGAGTTGGCAGACAATTTCTGTTATTATAATGAAAATTATGACAATCTAAAAGGCCTATACGGCTGGGCGATTAAAACACTCGATGAGCATCGCACAGATGAGCGCAATCCTTCTTACACTCTTTCCCAATTCGAGCAGGCCCACACACACGATGATCTTTGGAATGCGGCACAGGTTCAATTGGCAAATGAAGGCAAAATGCATGGTTTTCTACGCATGTACTGGGCAAAAAAGATACTTGAATGGGCCGCTACGCCGGAACAAGCCTTAGAAATTGCTATCTACTTGAATGACAAATACAGTTTAGATGGACGGGATCCAAACGGCTATGTAGGTAAGCTTATACTCAATTACTATGGAATGAGGTACTGGCCGGCGGAAATTATTTAATTAGAAATTATCGTTCCAGGTTGCATGTGGGCGATTGGTGGCTTACATGATGGAGGCTATCGTCCGAGGCCAATCTTTGGTAAAGTACGTTATATGAATTACAAAGGTTGTCAACGAAAATTCGATGTGGCTGCCTTTGTGGCGCGCTATGACGCTGAAGTACATGAATAAGTGGTAAGGAAATAGCTTTGATTGGCTGTTAAGTTTTTAAAACTAATCAATACATTATGCAGCACTCAAAATGTCTCGCTGATTTAAATTTAAAATGCAATAAAAAAGAACGAATTTTAAGAAAAAGTATTTTGCAAAATTAAATTATAAGCCCAACCGCTTGTACGAGAATTTCCTGATCTTTACATTTAACCTGCCAGTTTTCCAGTTTCTGTTACGGTAGATATATCTTTCATAGTTTTTCAGATTATAACGCCATTTTTATTTTGGTCATATTAAAAAAGATGACATCTCCAATTAACCAAAATCTTAACTTATGAAATGTATAAATTAATTTCCCCGAACTAATCCTTCTCTGCAATTTTTGTCAAGTGGTCCTCAATTTCCTTTTCATCTAGCACTGTAAATTGTGGGGAATCCTTGGTGACAATACCGATTTCGATACCATTTGGCTTGAAATCAACTTGAAGAACTTGGGACAGACATGTAATGGCTAATTGTATTACTTTCTCTGTAGATAAATCACTCTTAAATTTCTTTTCCAAGTAACTCCTGGCATCTTGTTGCTTAACACCGACTGCGACAGCTTTTACACCACAGTAATAACCGGCAGGATCAGTCTTATACACAGCAGGCCCCAATTCGTCATCATAGGCAATAAGCACCATACCTAAAACGCATAATACATTTCGTAAAAGGTATGTACACAATTTGGGCAGTGGTTACTTACTGCATGCTAAAGGGCGCATCTCAGCGTTCTGAGTATAGACTTGATTAACATCTGCTATGCGGCGACATAAGACATCTACTGGAATATCATAGCCGAATTTGTAGCGAAAGTTGGCCGCTTCATAACGCGCTTTTTGCACTTGGGACCGGCTATCAGCTGCAGCATAACAAATTAGTTTTGATATATAGATATTGGATTTTTTTTCTTTTGTTTATAAACTTACCAATGCGCCCAGTCATTACGCAGCCAACATTTTTGGTAATACGAAATAAGTGAGTGACTGTTTCTGGATCAATAAGCTTCTCAGCAACCTTTTTTTGTGTGGCCAAAACAGCGCAATCTTTGCCTTTCAGCGCCACTGATGTAAGGCCTTCATGGTCAATGGATTTGAAAGCGTATTCTATTAGGAAGAGTAATTGGATATCAAATATTAATGTGGATATAACAATATTTATCGGCAATATTTGAGAAATTTTTGCGTACCGACTTGGTAAAGGCGACCCTCGGGTGAGAAAATTGTTATATGTCTGTCAAAGCCGGCTGAACTACCACGCGACATTTTTCAAGTTTTACGTGCACTAAGTAAGAAACTGCAAAATTTAATAAATATTTATCTGTTGTAAGTTAAGCTTGAATTAAATTACTGACGAATTTTGTGCAAAAATGCCTAGATCTAAACAATTACCCAGAGAAAACAAAATTCCACGGATGACCAGCAAATTGTTAAACTTCGCTTCTTCTTTTTCTTACTAGAAGTTCACAGTTGTCAAAATCAACCAGTCATTCCAACCACGACGTTGCCACTCAAAAAATAACAATACGAATTTATTGTACCTAGACGCACAAATTGTACCGCATCTCTTATTAACTTCTCTAATATGGATGCCACCGGAAACCTAAACAACCGTTTCTCTTCCATGCACAGGTACACAAACATAATTGTAAGGCCATAATTTATTTTATTAAATATTTTCCCCACATATTAAGTTCAAAAACAATTACATCTTAGTTTTATAGTATTTATCTGGTAAAAATCCGTCCAGTTCTAGCTTTTTGGCGTTTTCGGGATAACATGCGTAATGTGTGAAATCCTCTACGCTGGCTTCAGTTAGCACTTCCTCGTCGATGAAAAAATTGCCAGTGCATGTTTTCGGATCGCGTCGAAGTATTTCATATGCCGCATCGGCCATTATATCAGGCTTCCGAGAATATTTGGCGCCGTCAGCGCCACGTAACATTTCAATGGCTGCGGTGTAAACAATTGTGCGTGGCCATAAAGCATTTACTGCTACTCCTTGTGCTTTGAACTCTTGAGCCATGCCTAGGACGCACATTGACATGCCATACTTGGCTATGGTATATGCAACATTTGATGCAAACCAACGTGGATGAAGTATAAGAGGTGGCGATATATTCAAAATGTGTGGATGCTTACTTTTTAATATAAAAGGAAGGCACTCTTTTGATCTGTAAGAAATATTTAGAGATTTTTTTTCTTATTCATGATTTTTCAGCGGTTGACTCACACCAAAAATGTACCCCTGCTGTTAATGTTGTTCATTAGGTCATAGCTCTTCATGTCGGTTTTCAAGGTCCGGGTCAGTGATATTGCACTTGCATTGTTGATCAAAATATCAATGCCACCGAATTTTTCAACTGCTTTCTGGACTGCCGATCGCACTTGCATTTCATCACGAACGTCAACTATGCATGCTAATGCTTTACCGCCGGCCTTTTCAACTGCATGTATATGTCGGTACAAGTATATATGTATATAAAAATGTGTTGATTAATAGTTAAAAATTTAGTGAGCAGAAGTAGTTTAGAAGAATGTCGCAAGCACTCACTTTCCTCTGCAGCTGTATAAATGGTTCCTGGTAGTTTTGGATGTGGATCAGCTGTTTTTGCAGCTACTACAATGTTCGCACCATCGCGTGCAGCCCTAAGTGCAATAGCTTTTCCGATACCTCTAGAGGCTCCAGTGATAAATACTGTTTTCCCACATAAAGCTCTAAGCAAAATAAACAAATATACGACAAAAACTTTATTAGACTATAGTTACATAAATGCTTTTTTACCCAACGTTTGGCATATTGCTGTCTAAAAATATATCCACACTTAACCGTTCATCAAACCCAACTGAACAGGTATACTAACTAAATAGTTGTTGCTGTAAACAGTACAAAGTGCAGTTGCATATTAAGTTCTGATGATCAACAACACATTTTTAATAATGTACTTATAAGTGTATATATGTATTTGCACTTTCATATGGAATTTTGTATATGTACGTATGTGAAAATTTTTCCACACATACAGACTCATATTTACATATATATATCTAGATATATCTAGAGGCTAAAAAATAATAGAAATACATAGGTATGTATTAGAAAATTTTATATAACTTAATTGAAGACAAATTTGAGACACTACAAAATATCACTGAACACCCCTAATAGAATAAAATTTAAAAGTGAATTAAAAGTACCTCTTTAGGGTTAAAAAAATATATGTTAAATTTTATAGCTTTGAGAAGTATTTATCGGGCAGAAAGAAATCCGACATTAGTTTATCTGCATTTTCGGGAAAGCACGTATATCGTTTAAGGTCTTCCACACCTTCTTCGATTAGTACCTCCTCATCGATGAAGAAATTGCCGGTACAAGTATTAGGATCTCTACAAAGTATTGCATACGCTGCATCAGCCATTATTTCAGTTGTACGAGAATATTGAGCAGCTTCAACTCCTTGTAACATTTTCAGGGCCTCTGTATAGATTGCGGTACGTGGCCATAATGCATTTACTGCAAGGCCTTTGTCTTTAAACTCCTCAGCCATACCCAGTACACACATTGACATGCCATATTTTGCCATAGTATAGGCTACATGATTACTAAACCAATGAGGTGCCATCACAAGTGGTGGTGAAATATTTAAAATATGTCCATGTTTGCTCTTCAGCAAATGTGGTAGACATGCCTTTGATCTATAATTGAAGTATTATAATTAAATGTAAAGATACCCAGTTTTCTTATAACCTTACACCAAAAATGTGCCCCTCGTATTTATATCATGCATCAAGTCGTATCGCTTCATATCTGTTTCCAGTGTTGGCGTTAAAGAAATAGCACTGGCATTATTAATTAAAATATCAATACCACCGAACACATCCACTGCCGCCTGTACAGCTTTGCGCACTTCCTCTTCGTCGCGTACGTCCACAATACACGCCAACGCCTTGCCACCCTCATTTTCAACTGCATTGCGAAAAATTTACATTTTTAGATTATTACATATGGACGTCTCCATACCATACTATGTTAAGTCTGACTCTAAGGTGACTTAACATGGTATGGTTCGGAGGTGTCGATATGTATGTATGTATATATATTTTTGATCGCATTGTAGGCACTTACTTTCTTTTGCCGCGCTATAAATTGTGCCAGGTAACTTTGGATGAGGTTTGAAGGTTTTTGCAGCTACCACTATGTTCGCACCATCGCGTGCTGCCTTTAAGGCGATTGCTTTTCCAATACCTCTGGATGCGCCAGTTATGAAAATTGTCTTTCCACGCAGTTTTCTAAATATTCATATAAACAAAAACTAAAATTATGTTTATTTGAAAACGATCGCACTTACCCGTTAATTCTCATATTTTCAATTGATAAATTAACCCAAAATTAACCGAGAAATAAGATGCCTACTTAATTGGCCCAATGGTACAATGTCCAAACAGGAGACTCGTTTACTTTTTATGCTGATAACTCCGAAATCGTTGATAAATTTGATTTCTTTTGGTTGCAATTGAACTTGTGATGGGCGAGTCCGAGATGTTTTAGTCGATTGTCTCGATTGAACTCGATGTTTTCTCTCGACGAATCGCCACTCGAAAATAGTCTAGTGTAAAACGACTGATTCGCGGTCCCATTCGTAATTCGCTCTCTCATTCGTGATTGGCGCCCCAGTTACGAACCGAATCACGTAATTTGCCATACAAAATATTGAGAGTGAATCACTTCATTCGTAGGTGATTCATAATTTTCATTGTGATCAATAATTTTCATCAATAACGACTGTCAAAACACATAGACCACACACTTCGTCACCAGCACAAAAATTAAAAAATAGCTAAATTGATTTAAAATATTGATCAAGTTAATTAACCACTACAAATTTTTTCTCCACCGTTGAGATACACAATAAGCAACACATTAAACAATAAAAAGGCAAATAACAAGAAGCAGAGATGCAAAAATAATCACGAATATGCAGTGTAGACAGATTGATTCGCCGTTCGTAATTGAAAGAGTGAACCACGTGAGTCGAACAAATCGAAAAATTCTCGATTGTACAGTTGGGCAGCGGGTCGATTATTGACTCGATTGTAATTATGCAACGAAGGCGATTCGCTTGATCGTTTAAACATCTCGGACTCGCCCATTACTAAATCGAAGTGCATTTAGAACAAACAGCAGTGATGATAAGCAGAACCGGATACTTGATACAGAAACAAAGGGTGCTACCCGGTTTCAAAAGAAGTTGAGAAATATAAATTTTTCAAATGACATGGCGAATTTTTTAAATATGGGAAATGATCGTTATTCCTCTTGTACAATACGTCGCCTGGGTAAAAGATTGTCGTAAGCGCCATTTTGACGATTTTTAGTTCTAGATGCAGTTATATATTTTGATGTACGGTCTTTCGATTGATGTTATCAGTTTTCAGATATCTCCTTTAGTTTCCGAGATATTGACTACAATTTTTTCTATAATTTAGTAAAAATTTAGTTAGTAATGCAGCCATATTAAACTAATCAATATCTTAAAAATCACGTTCTCCATTTTTGGATATCTTCTTTAGTTTCGGAGATATTGAGTAAAAAGTGTCGCTAATTTAGTAGAACTTTTGATCACATTTTGTCGTATTTCATACAAAGTGTGGACAAATGACGCATACGACAAAGTTTTACTAAAGAAAAACCTTCATAAACTCAAAGCTAATTAACATTAAACAATAAAAATTAAATAATTTAAGAATTTTGTGAGCTAGTAACATTTTAGAGGTTTTGGAGAATATCTATCTTCGCGTTTTTGAGAAATTGCATTCCAAAAGATTTCCACAACCTGCCGAAATCAACATACGACAATCTTTTACCAAGGCGACGTCTAGAAAATAAAATATGTACAAGGCAACCAAGGCATTGTCGTGAGGTTAATGTTGCTGGGGTTTGCAACATTGGTCGCCGGCAAACAGAGAGCGTAGATTTCTTACGTTCTCTGTGGTAAAGTGTTCAATACTTTTCTGTTTATGTTGTGTCAGAAATTGCAGGAAAATAGAAATTGTTCATTTTATTAAATATTCTTGGACAGTTTGTAAAAATTTTATTTACCGTCGCAAGTAAATATACTGTAAAGAACATAATTGTGGGTTACTATTGCAAAAGGCATGTTGGAGAACGAAGTGCTGGCGTTACAAAATCAATTGACCATCGCACGCAATGAAATAAACAAATTGAGGTAGAAAGACTAAAACTCTTATTTTCGTATTTCCCAATATACATATTTATGCAAAATTTCAGACAACAAGTTCGCAATTTGCAGCATGTTCAGAGAAAGGATATTGATGGTGTTGCGCGTATGCTGCGGGAGTTTCGTTGCGAAGGCTGTCGTCGACAAACTGCTGAGGAGAATACACGGAACAGCAATGTTGCGCCAAAGCAGAATCCGCACGCTGATGTAAATGACTCGTGTTTGACGACATTCTTCAAATATTTTTAACCGTCTACTCGTTTCAGGATTCTAATGCGGAGGCGTATGGAGGTGTGCGTTGGCAGCAAATTGGTGTAATACGCACTGCATTTCCAGAAAAGCGTGCCGTGCCGCGACAGTCGAGTGTGGGCGGTCGCCTGCGAGGTATTGTTGAATTAAATGCCGATACATTTACAAATCCTGAGCACGCGCTAGAAGGATTGGAAGAATATTCCCACATGTGGCTAATCTATCATTTTCACAAAAACAATGCACACCCAAAGGCCAAGGTCGCCCCGCCGCGCTTGGGTGGAGAACGGGTGGGTGTATTCTCAACTCGATCTCCGCATCGTCCCTGTCCAATAGGTTTGTCCTTAGTGGAAATTGAAAAGGTCGACGGTGCATCGATTACATTCTTTGGTACCGACATGGTGGATGGTACACCATTGTTAGACATTAAACCATACATTCCGTTTTATGATTCGCCAATGCAGCCATTGGACACAGGTATGCTTATATATTATTATTATTAAGGTATTTAACATTTTTATAATTCACACGTGTAGGCCGCGTATCTGTTGGGCCATTGGAAACCCTGGATTTTTACGATTCTCGTCAGGAACCAGATGGTGAGGAGTCGGAACTTGAATTGTTGGCAGCAGGCGCGACAGGTGGCAGTAATAGTAGCAGTGATGATGCCGGTGGCGGTGGTAATATCGGACCTCATCTCAACACGACGCCACCTAATATTATCAATAACCCTTCACCACCATTAAATACCGTTAAGGTCCCCAATTGGGTAGCAGGCAGTCACCGTCTGAAAGTTTGCTTCAATGAGCGTGCCGAGTCACAATTACAGGAGCTACAAGTGCACCGACAATGTATCATTGATATATTGGAAGCAGACCCACGTTCCGTGTACCTACGCACTAAATATGGTTCTCAGATATTCACCTTTCAATTAAGTGAAGTGACTGTTACATGCAAATTCGATGACAAAGCAGCAATGGTAACAGTAGTGCAGATACGTAGAACAGAAAATGTGCAAGACGAAGAAGTGCCGGAGTAACAGAGCAATGATGATGATTAGAAAGAAAGGACTTTTTATGAGCTTCGTTAAGCGTACTTAATGGCAATTGAAAGAATGATACAGGGGATAAAAATACGACATTGCAAATTTATAAAAAAACTACGTAAAGTATTTGTAGTAACTGCTTATGCCGATGATAGCAAGTTATGGGTCTATAAGCTATTCATAACAAATGGATATTCAATGAATCACCTCCTGCTGCTACAATGCACTTTAAGTTGTTTTCGTTATTTACTTGCCAGCTGCAATATGATATGTCATTTAATGCATTTTTCCCCAATTCATTGAAAAGTATTTTAATGCAGAACCTGCTGTGCATTTCATATATTCGCTACGCTTTTCTCTTTATAAGCTTTAAATTTATGGGTCGATTACTGATAACAACCGAACTTCAGTTGCGTTGCCAGTGACTGAAATTGTATTACAGATGGCAACTGGCAACTGAAAGCTGGCAACCGAATTGCATTATTGGCAACTGCACTTTTGTGGTTGCCGCAGAAGTTTTGATTTTGAAATTTTATTTATTTATTTTTTTCACTGTTTCCACGGCTTAATTATATCAAAACTCGATTATCCTCAACTTTGTAGCATTTAACTATAGCTGCTGTTCAAAATACACATTTTCATTTCAGTGACGTTGCGCTTCGGCAACTCAACTGAGGTTGCGTTGCTATTCATAATCGACCCATTAGTGTTTATGTTTATGGCGTTTTCTGTGCGCTTGAAATAGAGATAAAACTACATATGTTTAAAAACATATCGTTTAGATTAAATAATGTCAATGACAATTATAGCAACAATTTAAGTAAATAAATGTTTAAAATATGACTTACAAAATTAATATGTCAATATTTGTTCTCCAGGGGATAGGGTTATTTATTACATTTAAACAAATCTAATTAAACCATAAGTTCAAAAAAACTTTATTCCTATGTAAGTTGACAAAGCATCTGAAGTCCCTGTGAGCAGGGATATGTCACTTAGACAACTCAGAATATGCTCACAGTGTGGCCTGCTTGTCGTAAAAGGCGACTGAAAGGCTTTTCAGTTTAGAGTTTTTAAGTTTTGGTTTGGTTTGGTGTACTTAATTTTGTTTAATTTCATTTAATTTTATTTTATTTAGCCTCATCGGGAATTCCATGAGAGCAGATATTCCCAAAAATTATAAAGCGGAATAAAACCAATTTTCTCAATTTGTTTTTGTTTTGCCTTTTTAATAATGGGAAAGATTTATTCACATGGAATTTACGAAAAGGTTGATTTTGTTATATGTTATTTTATTTCATCTTTTTTTGTTTTATTTCATTTCATTTTAGTTTGTTTAATTTTATTTTAATTTATTAAATTATTATTTTTATTTTTCAATTTAATTTTTTTTTTCATTTACTTTAATTGTAATTGATAACTGTGCTTATCTGAAATTTGTATGATTTACTTAGCTCAAACAATTTAATTTTTATTTTTAGGTTAGGTAATAAATATTAATTTTAACCTGATGTTGAATACAACTTGGCGATGTCCACCGTCACATTGACTTGGGAAGAATTTCTGCAGGAAGCTATAGAGTTCCAAAAGATATCAGAACGCCTGGGTGACATATGGGCTTTGTGCAAAAAGGTGCATGTCTCGTACATTTTCTAAATGGTTGTAACTCAAATTAATTTCTTATCACTCTGTAGGATGACGAAGACGGTAACACTTATCTACGATACCAACAAAAAATACCAAATACTATTGACTCAAATAGTTATGCAGATCCTTTGGGACAAAATCAATCCCCTCTTGAAGATGACTCTGCTACTGCGGCTCCATCAACCAAAGACCTATTGCAAATCGAATATCATATCGTCTATAGTATTTCATATCAAGTTCCTGTGCTATATTTTCGCATCTACCGTAGTGGTTAGTATGCTACTTTGCAAATACATACATTGTATACTTACGAACGTATGTTATGAACCGAACTAACTATAAGTAATACCTTAGATGGCAGCTTAATGAATCTTGAAGATGCTTGGCGCATCTTTCGTGGCTATGTCGGTAATGCGGGTAGTGCGTATGCTACTGGTCATACAACTAATGAAGATATGCTGAATATTATGACCCAATTGGATCATCCAGTTTTACGCAGACCATATATTGCAATACATCCATGTCGTACAGCCGAATTGTTAGCGCAAGCAGGACTCAGTCGGAATCGTGTACTTACTTTTATCAGCTTGATGGGACCCTTTGTACAGCTGGTTTTAAAAAATGAATATGGCTTGGAGTTTGCTGATGGCTAAGTCAGTATAAATATACATATACTTCTGCAGCGAATTATACTTACATTGATATTTTTATAATTAAAAAATGCAACACGAGCGAGACTGTTTTAGTTACTGATATATTTGTTCTTATTTGCATTCTTTAACATTTAAAATTACTTAAACAATTTAACAATTACTAAATTTTATATAAATTATTTATCGACATAGACAACAGCAGAAATAGTACAGCAAAAGCAATCAATATTTGAGGCAATTGCTTACATTTACAAAATTAAAAGCCACGAATTATGCCAAAACCATTTTACTGAGTTAACCATTTCTTATTCTACAGTTAGAGTCATTTTAAAGGTAATAAACAAAATTTTAAATGTTATGAATATTTAAGCGAGTTTTTTCATAAAATGTTTGCTATTACAACTAGGCTAAACTGGAAAAAATTTTCTAAGTCGCATAAACCTTTATTTAACAAATGTAGCTATGTATGTATGTATATCTTTTTTACATTAAGTATATTTGCAAGTAGTATATTTAAATATTACATGGTATATGTGTATATAATTTATTTATATATGTATATGTACATATGTATGTATTTCCCTAATTGTCAGGCTATTTAACGCTACTTACGATTAGATGTATATATCGTCGTTTAAAGTGCAAAAACGCGTATCGCAATCGCATTTCTGGCTAGTATATTTCAGGACGAATGGATAAGGATTGAGCCAAGAGCATATTGTGTGAGCAAACCCAATTTTTTGGCAGCAAATTGCCAGTTACGTTGCAGAATGACGATACGCGGTTTTGTACTTTAAATGACGATATGCATATTTTATTTGGACTCGGCGCGCAATGCTCTACAATTACAAAAGCGCATAAAGTGCAATGATTACACTACGTAAACAACTATATAGCACTCTTTTTAAGTACATAAATAAAATTGATTTCTAATAAAATTTAACTGCTGATAAAAATGGCCAGAAGATTTTTGACTAAATTATTTGTTGTTCGAAGTAAAGTATTGAGCTAATGAAAGCTTTTGTGAATTATTGAGTTCGGAAAGCATTGCAATTTTTTACCAGTTCACGCAATTCCATTGCTTGTTAATCGGCTTTAACAGTTGACACATATGAGAATTGTTTGTAATATACAGTGCCGGACAAAAGTATTGGCACAGAGAATTTTTCGCAATATCTGAAAAGTTTTTTATTGTAATTTATTTTCGATAATTTTTTATAAATATATAGTTCGTCCTACACCAAAAAACATAAAAGCTAATTCTCTAAATTTTGTGCAAAACTCAGGAAAATTCAATAAATTTGCATGTCCAAAAATCAACGCAATTTTTTAGATACTTCAAAATTGCACTTTGTTATATTAAAATTAGTTGGGCTATAAAACTACATACTTAGAATTTCTCTAGAAAATCTGAATAAGAAGTTGCAAATTAGTATGCAAATTTATTGAATTTTCCTGAGTTTTGCACAAAGTTTAGAGATTTTGTTTTTATGTTTTTTTCGTGAAGTACGAACTATAGTTTTATTAAAAAATATTGAAAATAAATTAGAATAAAAAACTTTGCATATATTGCGAAAAATTCTCTGTGCCAATACTTTTGTCCGGCACTGTATTTTTTTCTTTTCAGAAATTTAAAAAATTAATAGAAAATATGCTTCAAGTATTCAATGTGTAAATATTTCTTTTATTGATGGATTTTATATAAGTGACGATTTTATATAAGTGACTCTGTGCGCAAGACCTATAGAAAGCTTTGAAAGCCTCCGGCATATGATTTGGACGTTATTGTTTTATATCTGTCACGAACAATCATACCCCGCAGGAGAAGCTTTTTTAAGCTTAGGGCTATAGCTCTAGAGTCTAGAGTCTAGACTAGTTTTGGCCAGATAGTGCTCTTATTTTGTGCCAGTCGCATGAGTATTGTAGATAAGAGCATTCAAAAGCTGAGAACTCGTGCCTTTGCTATGATATGCGTAGATGCGCTCTCTTTTAGGTAGTCCCTGTCGTATAGACTCAAAAGTCTTCTAGAAGGTCTCGGCCCTAAATAAAGTCGATCGAAAGGAAAAAGCTTCGAAGCTCCATTTATATTAATAGGTTTGTTCTGCCCTGGTAACAATAATTTTGTGGGAGTTAAATATAATCCCAGTTTCAGGTTTTGTTAAGAGAATTTTTAAATTTTGCGGTTACATAATCTTCGTAACGTTCAGAATAGGCCTGCAAACCAGAGTTTGCCACTTCATAGACACTATTTTAAAGCGGTGATGGTAAAACTTTTTTTAAGCTTTCTCTATATATTTAACTTTTGAACGCATATGTGGAATTTACATACAGCTTTAAAAAGTTTTGCCAGGGGCTGTTGCTACATATTTTTTACTGATGCGAACAGGATAAAAGCTCTATTTGGTCAGCACAATACTAAAAAATTGTTTTATTAAGATTAATAAAATAAGCGATTTTTTATCTTGTAAGCACGTACATACATACATATGTGAGTATTTTTTAAACGCCTGGATTTCTATATTTTTTCTTGAAGTTTTTTTTTTTTACTATGCGCATGTATGTAAATAGATGCCTATGTGTATATGTTTGTATATGTATGTACATATATATATATATATATGGAGTTTCTCGAATATATTTAAACTAATATCTTTTAGTTTTATATTTATTTTATATATTTCATTATTTTATTATAATTAATGTTAACTCCTACTGTGGTGTTCTATTTCATAGCAAATGCATACAATCACACGTACGCACACATACATATATACATTTTTACACCCTGAGCGTATCTACATACATACATAGGCATGCGTTGAATGGTGTATGCTTGCATATGAAATATGTTTTCAAAAACGTTTATTTTTCCATTTGAAATAAATTCTAAAAACTAAATGCAATACCCTACACTACAGTACTAGCACTAAAATACGTATCTACTATGTATGTACACATTGTCTAGTTATTTTTATGGACCACGTCGATACTATATACCTATGTACATATGTACATAGTTTCTTGTAATATGCACATATGTTTGTAAGTGTATTTACATATATTTTAGTTATGCACTTGTGGTCGGCTGATTAAGTTAAGTGATACTTTGACCAGTTTTGGCATTTTTCTTTTGAATATTTAATGTTTATACTTTTTCTTATACAAACTAAGCACATTATATAACCAGCATCACATAAATCCGCATTTCAAACTTTGTACAAAATTTATAAAAATTAAAAAATCTTTAACCATTACACCCAAAAATTTTTAACTTTTTATTAAAAATTTTTAGGTATGCAGTTTTATAGCCCATTATACTTAGTTACTTTTAAATATACTAAAAAATATGCTTAGCACTTAGAAAAAAAAAAATTATTCAACATCAATCGATTTTAAAGCGCCTTGAAATTTGTACTTTTTACTAAAATTTAATGGGCTATAAAACTGCATTACTAAATTTTTTCTGAAAAATTTTAAATAACTTGTTAAAAATTTTTGGGTATAATTGTTAAAGTTTGTTTGAAGAAAATACCACGCACCGTCAGCAAAATAAAAAAATAATTAAAAATCCACGCGATTTTCAAGCGTCTTCAAAATTGTACTAAAATTTTTCTAAAAATATTTAATAAAAAGTTTAAAATTTTTGGGTGGTAAGTGTTAAAGTTTGTTGAATTTTTATAATTTTTGTAAGAAGTTTGAAATGTGGATTTATGTACATATGTAGTGCTGGTTATGTTATGTGCAGGACTTTTATAAAAAAAAATTGTAAACATTAAATAAACAAAAGAAAAATAACCATAACTGGTCAAGATGTCACTTAATTTAATCAGCTGACCACAGGTGTATATTCCACTTAATGGAGTTTTAAAAGGAAACAAAATTGTGGTTAAAAAAATATATATATTGACTCCTGACCTACAGTCCTCAAGAGCTGCAAATTATTGACTCTGAGCTAAAGAAATTCGCCGTTTCAAGGACAATTGTAAATGGTTGGAGAGTTCACGGCATAACTTCCCGCCTACGATTTTTACTTTGCCGTAAACATATACCGGACAATTCTGGTTAAGACAGTTGAAAGTCATTTGAAAGACAGTAGCCAACATATGTAAGTAGCTTGAAAGATTTGCTTTATTCTGGTAAGAAATTCTCACAAAAAAAGCTTTCTTATGAACTTTTATGGTAAAAAGCTTTTTTGACAGAAAGCACGCATCACAGATCTAAAGTGAGCTAACTCAAAACTCAGAGACGGAAAATTAACTGCTTGTGGATCGTACAGATTCAATGCAATTAATACAAAAACAGGTATAAATAACAGTAGTTTCTTAGTTAATGTGTATAATCATGATTCATGACGAAAAAACGGGTTCTCTTTGAAGACATTGCTTTGAAAGGCAGTGCCGTAAGATAGGCGGTTTTGCATTTGGGCGATGGGCGGTTTTGCAAAAACATCGACGATTTCAATTAATTGTATGTGAGTCCTACGAATTGATTTATGCAAAAAAAAAACACCAACAATTTTTTTTTGAGTTGATCGCACTATAGATCTAGGTGTGCGATATGTATATCACTTTGCTCTCGCTGGTTGCATTGGCCGAGTGAGCAAAGCACTGGCGTGTCATTCGAGTGATGCGAGGTTCGAGTCCTCAGGCAGCGGAATTTTTAATTTTCTTTTGATACTAAGATTTTGATGTTTTAAAAAGAAAGAAAAAAAAATACTTTTTTTAAAGTTTAATTTAATCCTCAGAAATAACTTTTTTATTTTTTATTTTTTATTTTTTATTTTATTTTATTTTTGAAAAGGAAGTTTTTTTTTATATGATTTAGTTTTCCGAAGCTTATATTTTTTCTTCTTTTTTATTTTTTATTTTTTTTTTCTTTTTTTAATTTAGTTTTTCGAGTTTAAACTTTTAAAAAGAAAAAATAATTCTTTAAAGTTCGTTTAATTTTCAGGAATTTGGTTTTTATAATTTATTTATTTTTATTTAAATTTCTTGTAATGCTTAGATTTTATAAATAAATTTTTAAAAATAAAAATTTTTTATTTCACTTAATTCTTAGAAACTATTTTACTAATTGTTTCTTTTTTAACCAGCTCCCTTGAGAATAGCAATGTCTTATGGCAATGGCTAGCTTCATTTTAGATGGAATGTCGACGATAGTGAGCACCAGCATAAGCAGTATGTTGCAGAAGTGTTTCGTCGCCGTGAGGTAGGCACGATACCAACAAACAAATAAATAGAAGCACATCACAAGGGGGGCGTATTATCGCCGCTACTATGTTAGCTGCTGGTAAATAGAATACTAAAGAAAATGAAAGGAAAACCTGTCGAACTTACTGCATATGCGGATGATATCTCTGTCATAGTTGAGGGGGAAGTGTCTGTCCAAAAACAGCTCACTTATGACCAAGAACTACGGGATATATGTACATATGTACATCTTTGGGCAACCAAAGTGGGGCTTAGTATTAATGCAGAAAGAACAGATCTGGTACTCCTCGCCAGAAAATACAAGTTGCCTCACTGGCCTAAGCCAAAGCTGGATGGTATGACGCTCCAGATGAACTAAATCACCAAGTACCTTGGAGTAGTACTCGAAAGCAAGCTATCGTGGAGGAGAGGGCATCAGTGGCATTCTGTGCATGCCAAAAGATGCTGGGTTGTAGGAATGCTGGCTGGTCGAAAATGGAGAAAGGTGAAGGGCCGGCAGTGATCTGCGCGGAACTAAAACTCAAGAAATCCGATAAGCTGCCGGACCACTTCTTCACTGGTGTTAATGGGCAACGAGGAGGCCGACAGGCTTGCCAAAGAATGTGCTGTGTCGAAAATCATTCTAATAGAGGAAGTGCCGATTTCCCTCCAAGCGATTAAAAGGGAGCTCGACCTGTGCATGATGCAAAGGCGAACCAGTTTCTCCTATCCCTTAAGACGAAGTATGCTCGGCTACTTACTAGTTGCCTTTGAACTGCCTCTGACAAATGATGGGCTCTGTAGTAGATGCAGGACGAATCAGTGGGCAGTGGAACATATCCACTGTGGGTGTCCTTCTTTTAGCGGACCGCAGACTAGTCTCCTGGGAGTGGGGAAATTTCGAGCCTCGATAGATATTTAATGTAGAGTTTGATAGTTTAAGTTGTGGATGTGGAGTTTAGATCCAACAGGCAAATGCTAGAATTTAAAAAATAATAAATACTTTTACAATGACTGAAAAAATTTAATAGGCGAGCTAATAATTATAACATGTGTAATATATACATACATATGTATACATATATGAATGTTCATTGTATATTTATATTTATTTATTTTAAAAATTTTCGTTTTTTTAAATATTTGTTTTTTGGGTTTTTAAATTTTTAATATTTCCTAAACTTTACATTTAACTAGACAGTACGTAGTAAATATGAGTTTTTTGTTTGATAAATATTCTAAACATTATTTACTTGTATACATAATTTGCTACATATTTGTTGTTTTTTTTCTGAAATTCCATTAAAGCTGCACCATTTTGTATTTTATATATTTAATTTCGAGTTATCGATTTTTATATGTATATTTAAGCATATTTCAGGTCAAATTATGCTGATATTAAATAATTTTGTCTAGTAAAATCTGTCAAATAAATTTAGTAAAAAATTAGATCATATATCATAAATCAAAAACCAAATCAAGAAAACATAAAATTGCGCTATATTGTAAACATAGCTTAAGTCAATACCGATTAGCTCTAATATTCATTTAGTAAGAAACCCGATAGTTACGAGAAGGAAGAAATTGAAACGGGTATTGCAGAAAGTCATTGGGGTTTTTGGTTCATTGTATATGGCGTGTTTGATAGCCAAATAACATTCGAATGTAAGAAATCCTTCATAGATGTAAAGAAGAGGGTAAAACATTTTTTAACAAACAGCTGAGAGTTCTTTCCAAAAAATTAAATTAAACAAAATTTGAAAACAATGAGCTTTGCTAAGCCATTTGAATTTTTATATAACTTTATTTAAATTATCTAATAACATTTAATCTACTTCTACAACGCTGAAAAAAATAAAAAAATTTAATTTAAAAAATACATAGTTTAATAATAAAAATATTTTTGACTAGTAGTATCTATACTTATTTTTTATATAAATATGTGGCATATTATCTAAATATATAATGAAATTTTGTACAAGTATTTACATTAAAATTAATATTTTTTTTTATTTCTTTTCTAATGCAAGAAGCAATTTTAACACTTCACGAGCTTGCATAGGCGCTTAAATATACATGCATACTTTTACAATTAAAAGCACAATCACACATTATCTCGTACACAAATATAATTTGCTATGTCTAAATTCGCTAATAGAATAATAAATATGTTTGTTTGCATATATGTACATACATATGTTTAACTAGAAAAAAATCTTAAACCGCGCTAAAAGCTCTAAATTTGCTAGGACTCTTTGTTTTTTTTTTTTTGGCATTTTGAAGCACTTAGGGGCCCTTAGTCTTAGGCAATTATTACACATCTTGGTTTTATTTATGTAGTTTATTTTGTTGATGTTTTTATCTTTCATAAGTAAATATAAGCTACACTTCTAACACATACATACATATATTTCCTTACCATAAATTTACTGTTTTCTTATACCACTAAAACATTTTTTTTTTAACTAAAATATGCTATAAAAAAATAAATTAAAGCTCACATTACGAATGCATTAAAATTTGTATTTTTTCGCTTCTCAACTTTCTATGATAAAAATTCTCTTCACACTGCAGAGGTTTCTATTTCTAAACTGCATAACAGGTTTACAATTGTTTTTGTTTTTTTCTCCTTGTATTATATGTATGTATGTATATGCATAAAATAGTTTCTCTTCATTTTATTCATTTAAATATTTCTCCACTTTCGTTTTCCGTTTTGCGATTACAGGACTTGTTGTGGTATGTATGTATGTATGTATGTTGCTAAAAATTAAAGCTATTCTATGTGTTGGACGGTGGTTTCTTTGTGTTGTTGTTGGTGTCGTTCCGTTAGTGATGCCCCTATGGAACTACTAGCGGATACGCTCCGCCGAAATCAGCTGCAAAGTAAATTGAAGAAGCCTCTACCTTTTTCGGAACGTGGCGCCATTAGCATAGGAACTTGATTCTTATGGGTGACTTTAATCTGAATGCAGAGAAAATGCAAATAAAAAATGAATTTTTTTCCTGCAATTTATTGCATTTATATTTACAGTCATTTCAATGAAAAACCGCTTGTTAGTTCTTTTTGAATACTGGAAGACTAGTCTCAATAATGTGAAACTTTATTTTTGCGTTTTAGAGCGCTGTGGAATCGCCGCCACATTGAAAATAGTGGTCAAGGCTTTTTCCAATCCAGTTACTGCCTTACAGTATTCTAAAAGAATTGAACACCATTTAATTTAATTTAATGTCATTTCATTTTATTTTATTTTATTTTATTTCATTTTATTTTATTTTATTTTATTCAATTTTATTTTATTTTATTTTATTTTATTTCATTTCATTTCATTTCATTTCATTTCATTTCATTTCATTTCATTTCATTTCATTTCATTTCATTTCATTTCATTTCATTTCATTTCATTTCATTTCATTTCATTTCATTTCATTTCATTTCATTTCATTTCATTTCATTTCATTTCATTTCATTTCATTTCATTTCATTTCATTTCATTTCATTTCATTTCATTTCATTTCATTTCATTTCATTTTATTTTATTTTATTTTATTTTATTTTATTTTATTTTTTTATTTTAATTTATTTAAATTAATTTTATTTTCCTTTATTTTATTGTTTTATTTAAATTTTATTTTATTTTAACTTTTTGTAGAATTATTATTTTTTACTTCCTATTCCTTTTACCATACGTACCGTGCAAGGTACTTGCATCCATGGTTCGCCATCAATTTGCATAGGAAATGTTTTCTTCGTCTTAATAATTACTTCACAACATTGCGCCAAGCGTCGACCAGAGGCACGAAGACCGGTACGCACTTGACCCATGTGCAAACAATTTTCCAGACCTATAACCTCAATTAGGCGATCACCGAAATCTGTAAGAAAAAATAAAAAAATCATGTTTCAGTCTGGCTACGAACCAAGTTGCGTTTACAACTATACAGGGTGTCCTAGACCATTATTGGAAATTGCAAAAATACAATGTCGGGGATGCTTTATCTTTTCGTCGTATTATCAACTTCAAGTTTCGAACTGACCGGAAGTTCATCTTTTTAAAGGAGATATACACGGTTTTACCACGATTCGGATTCTGTCGAAAAAAGTACTATACTTTTGTCGGAAACTTATTTCTGTATGGACTTCTGTTTAAAAGAATGGTCTTCCGGTATCTCTAACCCACCTCCATTCGAAACCTGAAGTTGGAATACGATGAATAGATAGAGCATCCCCGTCTTGGAGATTCATATTTTTTTTAGTTTTCCAACAAAAAACATTTTCGACCATTTTAGAAGTCGAGTAGTGGAATTCTGACAATCGCCACGTTAAATTTTTATCGCCGAAATTCTCTAAATGTAAATCAGTAGGGCCTATAAATATGTAACATGGAAAAGTAACCAGAGAAGTAGCCATAGATGGTAGCATGAGGGGCTAGATGTAGCGATAGCGAATGTTGGAATCCGTCTTCGTTGAAAAAGGCACTTTCGAAAAAAAAATTTGAAACAAAAGTTACGTATTTTTATATGCAGAATCCGAATCAGTGGTAAAAATGTATATATCCCATTGAAAAAAATGAACTTCCGGTCAGTTTAACCCACTTCCTGTCGAAACCAGAAGTCGGTAATACGACCAAAAGTTATAACATCCCCGACTTTGTAGTTCAAATATTGCGTTTTCCAATAAACAACATTTTCCCCCATTTTAGAAGGGGTGGAAATGCGTAATGATAAAGTTACTCATACGCCCCCTAAACCACACTCAACTAACGTCCCTCTCCCAATGGACTAAACTAGTTGGAGTGGTACATTTCCTGGGTCTCCTGTTAGTTCGTCTCTCAACATATCGCTGACAAAAGCCTCATGTCTAGTTAATGTAAAGGCGGGGCAGAGGCACAACAAGTTCTCCAAGAAATGCCTGGTCTGAGTTATCCCCAGTCAAATGATTTGATGCCTCATAACCAGGTACCTAGCACCCACAGTGTGAACATTCCACACATATCATTCCTTACTGCCTTTTAAAATGATTCGCTCACCGGTTTCCTGAGATATTGTGCCTTGTAGCATACATACATACATACATATGTACATATGCACTCGTAGTTAATATTAGTTTCGTTCCTGAACTTTCTTGGAAAAAACCTGTAGGTACAACTGTTTAAAATCGAAATAGCCGCCAGAGAGATAGAGAGAGAGAGAGGAAACAAAAAAAACAAAAAGTACAGAACGATTTTCGGGTAAAAAATTGTCAAACACACCGAAGATGAAATTTTTTGTTTACATAGCCGTTTTTTTTTTTTTATTAGCCGATTTGATAAATTATACGCAAATACATAGGCAAATTAACAAAAATACTTGCAAAACTTGATATTTATTCGCTACGATATATATAATAAGTTGAAAAATGCAGATGTACTTATGTTTTTGCTTATTCAACTTCAGTTCGTTTTGACAACATTGAACAGCTGTTGGTTTCACACTTTATCCAGATTTTACAGGTAAAAATTCTTCGGGTAAAATCTTGCAACTTTTGACAAAGAGAGGACCGATTTTACACTGCCATTTTTTCACCACTTTGCTTGCTATTTCTTCTGGTAAATTCTGGCAACTTTTCGTGTATTAGGGAACGCAGCTATTATATAACTCAATATAACAAGCTATCCCTCTAGCAGATAAGCGATTTGTATGTATGTAACATCTTTTAAAAAACACAGAAGTTCAAGCTAGTGATTTCCTTAGACCCGAAAATTTGGAAAATGGGAAAGAACTTTTTTTGGAAATTTTGAAAATTCACTCAAAGCTTAAAAGCCTGCCTAATAATTTAAAAGAATTATAATTGATGATCAAATTTATTACAATAACCACAATTTCAAGTTTTAGTGCGATTATTGTTGGAAAAGCCATGATTCTTCATATTTAGATTATTTTCTCTTAGCATTCGTGAAGTCGTTGGTTTATGCGAACAAAACCGAAAAGTTAGGTAATCTCTCAATATTATTTCAATTTAAAGTTCTACACCCTAAAAACAAACATCCTTCAGCTTATAAGGGAACGATAAGCTTTTGTTTGGTGTAACCTTTTTCTCGTCAAAGGGTTATTGAGGGGTGAGGCGTAATTTGATTGTAATACGTATTAACAAAAACAAAAAAGAAAATTTGCAACAACTTGCCTTCATTCAATTGAAAATTTACTCACCTTGAGTTGCAACTGACAGATCGACAGATGTGAAACTTGTCGCTGAAAGTTCCTTATCCGAGGATCTCAGTTTCTTGCCTTTTCGAAATGGACCAGCACTTTTGCGCATTCGCTTTTGCGAAAGATGTTCACCCCACAAGTTCGAGCCGCCATGAGTGTAAGGAATGTTTAGTAGAGCGACACCCTGTAGATGTGGTCCATTTGCTAAATTGAGGGAAACGCCATCGCACTGCAAAGGAGATACAAAAAAAAAAAAAAAAACAATAAAAATGTTGGAATTTAAAAAATAAACAAAAATGAGTATAAAGCCAATAAGAATAACCTCAAATTGGCTACTGGTGCCGCAGAGCAAATTGTGCTTTATCAAAAGCAGTAAAAAAAAACAATAAATAGTACGCGTGAGTGCTCTGTCTGCTTGCTGCAAATCGCTTAACAGCTGCCAGCTGCTATATATTTTTATACATAAGTATGTACTGCCTTAGTGGTCAAGCTTTGGGTAAGAAAAAGGACATTTTCTGCTCGTAATGTGCGGCAAGTGTTTATTTTTTTTTTGACATTATTCTTTTGCTGGTTTGTCCTTTTTACTTGACTGGTTACAATTATTAACTTCCGCTATTTAGCTTGCTTTCCGCTTTGCGCTTTGAGCTTTGTTGTTTTTTTTTTGTTGCCTACGATGCTCTTAAGCGAGCACCGCAATTTGTGGTGTTTTTATTTGTATGTAGTGCCAACATCGCTTTTTAAAACGCACCACAAATGGCAACAAGCAACACGTGTAATGGAGCCATAATTTTTTGCATAAAATTGGCACGTTTTTCCCATTTCTGTTTGCTTTCTACTACGTTTGTTAAGACTTCCTTCCTTCCGTCCATTTTGTGGTACATATTTACATAGGGCTCACTGGTCAAAGAAATTTCCTGTCGAAAATTGCTTTGTTTTTGGGTATTTCCATATACATAAATGTTGACACGAAATCTCAAGGAACATTTTGTACGAAAATAAATCCCATACAACACATCATTACTTACGCAAATTATGCTCGATCTCACATCTTCACAAGTATCTTGCTCTTCATTGGCTTCCCAAACTGAGAACAAGCAAATCTGGCATAAGTAGCTATTATCTTTTATTGCCGCAAGCTGCTAAATGATTGCGGTATACAAGGTACAAATGTGCTTTAAAGGCAACTATTTAACGCGCAAATGTATGTGAATGACTTTCCTCCGCCAAGTTATTACGCCTAAATGTATTCAAACACAATTTTGTGGCCCATACAGGTTTTATGCAAATTCTTTTATTCTTCCTTCCTTGGGTTTTTTTTTTTATTATTCTTACTCCACCCTTTGTTTAGTAGGTGTAGTCAAGTAGTTACTCGCTTAGCTATTCACCAGCCTGGATTAGTCCATTCATACTTTATACTCACACATGAAGTCATCTAAGCTGCTCGTGTTAAGCACTTTTAAATGCTTATTTTATTTGATCAATGCATTGGCTGTTAATTTTATTGCTCGTAAAATGCTCAGAAACAGCTGTGACCGCTGAATCAAAATGCGCAAAGTGGAAACATAAAGATGAATTGCCACTAAAAAGTTTGCTTGTAAGCAGTTTTCCTTTTGAATAGAATAGGTCGTTCAACTGTATGTAAATATGTATGTATGTGGAGGGAAGATTGTACATTAGGGCGGGTCAATTTGATTTTCGGCTATAGGCGTATAGCATAGGAGGATTCTACGTGTAATTCTAAGCAAATTTTCCAAAGACATCACGGGTCTAAAATCAATTTGGAGTTTGCCAAAATTGCGAAAATAGGTCAATTTTACTAAGCATTTTGCTGTGGTGTCTTAAAGAAGTGCTTAAATGAATTTGTTTTGCACAGAAATAACGAGAGTAACAGATACCCCACAAGTCTAAAAAAAGTTGAAAACCAGCATCAAAAATCTCATTATTACGATTCCGTTCAAAATATTTTTAAATATTTTTATGCAAATTTTTTAAGCTTAAACTGTCATCTGATGGGATTTTTTTTTTAATGTTCTTTAAGAAACTATTTTTATGCATAAAAAACTCCATTTTTGGAGGTATTTTCAAATCGGTTCAGCACACGTAAATCTCAATATTTTTCTGAAATACTTTGGTGTACGTCTTCAAATAAAATAAATTTTGTAATCCCGGTGGAAAACCGCAACTGTTTTTTGGTGATGCAGTCTAATGTACATACTTACATACATGTGTATGCATGTAGTTTGTATTGAATTTCAGTTATATGATAAAAATAAGGCTAAATAAAATATACTTTTTTTATATTAACAAGAAAATGTGAAAATTTTCACCGTTGCGCCCTCTGGCAGATGTTTTCAGAAAAAGATAAGTCTAAAAATAGATTCCTCATATCAAAAACTTTTATACAAAATTTAAGCACTTCTTTACGATACTATAGCAAAATGCTAAGTAGAAGAAATCTATTTTCGCAATTTGGAAAACTCCAACAACTTCGAAAAATTTGCTTAGAATTATACTTAGAATCCTCCTTTGCTATACGCCGATAGTCGAAAAAATTGACCCGCCTTAATATACATACATATTTTTTGGCCCATACAACTTTAGATCATAGCTTATGTAAACATATTTAATTAGAGTTCATGAAAATAACTGAATTAAAAAGTGTTTGATACTTCTGCTCAGATCAGCTGATTATTCACTTCCTAAAATGCATTCTTTGTTCGGCTTGTGGGTCGATAATATATTCGTGACGTACTCAGTCAAAACAAAGTGAAGATGGCGACCATCGAACTTAGCTCATAGTCAGAGTCTGGAGAACCTTTGATCGCAAACTACTTTTGAAAATCTTTTTTTCATACAATTTGATCTTTAGTTGTTTTATGAATCATAAATTCTTGCAGTAGGAAAATAAAAATCTCAAGAGGAAGAAGAATACTGAATCCATGCTCATTGAAGCCCGTTATGCTTAGTTATTAGACAACTTGACTTGGTAAGGAAATGGGCTGAAGTGAGGAAAGGAGTGCTGCGAGTAGTAAGTCGGAAAAGGATTAAATGAAATTTGTGCCACAAGGTGTGCGAAATGCAAATTAATCCTCTAGATACCAACCCAGAGCTAAAATTATAATAGGGGTATTCTCGCAGTCTTGCAAAGCCCTTGCACGGTTTGTAAAGTTCTCCCATAGGAAAGCCGGTTTTTACCGTGCAATCTGTGAGAACCAAAGCCAAAGGACCTCGTTTAATGAATTCTTCAACCTCTTTATTTTTAAGTTTCTTCAGAATCTTGTCATCTTAGTACTCCAGATTTATCTTTTGTTTCAAATTGATTTTGCCGGATCTATGTCTGATCCTTGAGGGTGCAATAGGTGCTCACTTTCATTTGCTGTTTATGTTGTTGTTGGAGCTTTTATATAAGTAAAGAGCTCAGTACTTTGACAGCATCGCCTCTTTTAAAGTTGTGATTGGCAGAGAGAGCTTTTACTCCGCACGTGCCTATACAAAATGTACATAAAGCTTAAAGGCGATTTGCCCGCGGGCAAGACGGTGCCCATCACCGTTTAAAGTTTTAAGTAAAAAGCTCTCTCTGTCCATGACTGATATGTATAAAACGCTCGAAAGCACTCAAATTACGAAAGCTTGTGTATCAGAGGTTTTGATCGAAAGGCCTTAATTTTCAACAGATGGAGAAGCCATCTAAGCTAATTGCAGAGTATTTGAAAGTCTTTGAATTTTTCTGAGTTTTCCTCATTTTGTTCCTGCATATTCTATTTCTCAATGTTTCCATATTCTCCCGAAATGCCAACCGATTTTACCGAAGCACGTCGACGCTAATGAGCTGTGTGCAATGTTTTTCGTAGATAAGCTGATGTGAAACGCAGCTGCGCACCAAATTACCGTTGTGAGAAAAGGCATAATTTACGGTCGAACAAATTTCCAGTATGCTCAATCAAAAATCTCAATAGGGATGTGAGTAAGAATAAAACGAGCAAAGAAAAAATCGGAAATATTATCGCTTTCTTGCGCTGAATTTCATGACAAAACTTAAAGCGAGTGCCGAACAGAGATTGCTACTAAAAGTTGATGATTTTCTGGGTTAAGATTGGTTTTGCCACTAAAGTAGCAGCAACAGCAGTAGAAGAAGCAGCAGCAATGGCTGCTATTAAAGTGAGTGAGCAGTAATGATGAATTTTCTTTTGCGCTTTACAGACGCGCTTGCACAGCAAATTCACTCATCAGGTAAAATATGCAACAGCATGAAATGCCACTGCGGCGGAATTGATGACTTGATGACGGAATACTAAAAACAAGGAGAAAAAAAGAAAAGAAAAAAGTGAAGAGCAGCAGCTACGCCAAGTGAGGTCCCGGCGAAAAATGCGACTAATCCGGGATGACTCCGGGAGCAATCGCAAAGGAACATGCGACTAATAGCACTTTTGATCTCTTTATATGGAATGAACTAATCGCTTTTGTTCGAGCTTGTCCTATGAAGAGACTAATTGTTTCACCCTATACCCGAACGGCTATAAAAAGCGACTAGTCACTTTTACTGGCTAAACAGAATGTAGTACCACAGCACAAATGTAGTACCAGTACCCATTACAAATGAGTCGGGGATTAATTGATCTCCAATTATACCCGTAAGGAATGAGTCGAGACCATCTGATTTCCAATAGTACCCGTATGAGACTAGTTGCGGCTAATTAATGACCAATCGTACCTGGTTGAGAGTAATCTCGGAATACTCTCTTTAGAGATAAGGTCGCACAATTTTTTGCAGGGGTACTACGTACACGCATACACCGAAAATAATACATATGTACATATGTACATGCATACAAACATGTGCATTCACTTGGATGCCACTAAAGTAACACGCGGTAAGACAAGGCTTTATGGTTTTCCCCATTTTCGCGTTGATTGTGGCTTCTTTTTTGATATTTTTCTACCATTTTCGTGATTTTCAAGGTGATACTGCAAAAGTTTCATCCCAAAGCTTAAAGCACTTCGCACCCACTTGGCACATGCTTAACACTTACTTTTCCAGCATGCACCCGCATGTTTACCTAGGCTTACAAACACACATTTATGCAAGCACTCATAACTACGGCGACAGTTTACTTTTTCATGTGTCTTTTGCAGTTAGTTTTCTCATAATTTATTTCATATTTTTTATTGCTTATTTTACCCTCGTTACTCATACATATACATACGAGTATGTACACTTACCACAATTTCTATGTTCTCATGAAGATTCTTGCATGATGCAGCAAATGTTTCCGAAGTGGCATATTCAAAATACCACAGCTTATTTTTCATGCGACTGTTGAATTTGTGTGGATTCTTCTCGCGCTCCAAGTGAAACTTGACACAAATTGCTGCATCCTGAAATGAAATTAATTGAAATACATATGTATGCATGAGTTAATTAAATGGGATAAGATTTAATTTAAATTGCTTGACTGGGAGCGTATGGTGTTCATTGACATGGAAAATGAATAAATGCTTTCATTTCATAGATGAAATATTTGGGACATAATATTTTAGAGATACATTGGCTGCAAGATATCATAATAATAAAAAAAAACCAAAAACCGGTAATTTCTGGATACTCAACTAAAAATTTGTATTTTTTGGATTATGACACTATTGAAGTAAATGTGCGATATATATATCGATAAGTTTTTCTCAGTTCTTTAACTATTCATGAGTGGAACACGAAATTTTGCTTTTAATATTCATCGAGAGCTTGTTGGAATTGTTTTTATTTTAGAAGGCATTTTCCGAAATCTTTCCACTTTATCGATCATATGAAAGTAATCTATTTACTGTGGCTTACCGTAGGTTACCGAAAAATAATCTCGAGAAGTACCGAAACTCCTGAGTTTCTGAAATATCCCGTTAGATCTCGAAAAATGTAACATGAAGAATCACGAAAAGTCCTGGCAAAATAAGGAAAAGGTCGAAAAAATTCACCAAAGTTCTTTAAAAAATTTAGTAAACTCCAAAAAATCGGAAGAAAATCTTGAAGTGTCGAAAATTCCCGACAATCACGAAGCATTTCATTATTATGCCAATCTCTTAAAAACCGATTATTATTGATTTTTCTGGACCGTTTAGTATTTCCAAAACCGGGCCGCAGATGGGGTTTTCGGTGAAGCTTTTTTCGAGGCTATTAAACAAAACCTGGTTTGGTTGTTGTCGGGACCAAATGTTAAACTTGAGTGCTGCCGTGTAGTAGTGAGCATCTCTAACTATACAAACAGGATTACTGGATAGTGATAGACCTTACGACCTCAGAAGAATCCGAATATGTAGTACACCGATAAGAGTAATTGTGAGTATTTGAATATTGATACGAACATTTTTGAAATAAAGTTTCAGAAAGATTTCACTAACTACCAAAATGTGCTCTGATTCTCTGGTAATGAAAATGTACCTAGAATAAATATTGCGTAAAGCTACAGTGGACCAGGAGAAATCCCTTAGTTAAGGCTATTGGTACATGATTTTAAACTGAAAAGGAAGCAAGGGGTTCGATAGAGGTGTTTCAAACCTCTACGAATTTCTTGGCGATGTAAGATTCAGAACAAAGGCAATCAGATAAAGTGATCTTATGATGAGTTTTACTGGGACACAGAATGTTCTCTGCCATTTCGTAGAAGTAATTTTTTGGCTAATTTGTATTGTACTTCTGCCCAGTGGACAGAATTTCAGTGCTAGGAACGTATACATTTTCCTGCCTTAGCGAAGACACTATTACTCTGGTTTTGGGAGACAGCTTGTGCTCTGTGCTGCCAAAGGGTCCTTGACAATCAAGCAAGCAACATATGTATAGGAAAATCTTTGTTCGGGATTTCTCGATATTTCCTGAGAGATTCTGAATAGCAGGATAAGCTGACTAAACCAGCTTGATTTAAGTGGTTAAAACGGATTGTCGGGCTGAGCTTAACAATCCTTTATATAGGCCTAAGTATTTTGTTGATACTTATCTTCGTGAGCTACTGACACTAGTCTTCCTGAAGCTAATTTATCCGAGAAATAATAGCTTGTTACTTGTTTTTAAAGTAAGTTTATATTTCTTCTTTTTCCGACGTTCAAAACTAATGCTGGATTTATTGTAAACAGAGATGAGAGAGCTTCCTATTAACGTTCACCACATGCAAAAATGCCATTTTGTGGGTTTCAACTGACAATGAAAGCAAAAATTTGCATAAATATTTTAGAAATTACATCCCTGCCGTTTATGTTGTACAAACCCAAATGCAGAATAAATTAAATGTGCATATCTTAAACTTTTTTTGTAATCACAATTTCAAAATCATAAAACACGTATACCAACATAAATAAACAGCAGTACCCACAAAGTTGTACTATAAATGCCTGCATGAAAACGCTCAAAAGTTGCCCGACCGCCGTAGAACAATTGCTGAAAAGGAGTAGACAATGCGTACGCAGAGACCGAAACAAAAGTCACACCAGAAGAAGAATAAGCTAACTAAATGATAAAATGAATGCATTGTGCCCTCGAGTAAATTTACGCAAAGTGCAATGAGAAATGGTAACTTTCCAACTTTTAACGATTAAAATGTATGGAATAGTTTTCGGTAGTTCGGTGTTTGTTACCCAGTGGGAAATCTTTCGCATATTTCGGCATATGTATTTATATATATTTTCAATAAATTTTGAATTAAAATTATTCACATCATTGGATGAAATCTATAAAATTACTAAATGATTCCCACGACTCCGTCTACATAGCTTAATACTTTTCTATATACTTGTAGCAGATTTTTAAAGCTAAAAAGCAGCTTTGATGTGTAAATTCATTCAATGTCCGGTAGTCCATTTTTCATTGTTATTGCAGTCTATTAAAATTTATTTCAACAGTGTTATTGAGTATTGTAACATGATTTTTTTTTTTTTGTTAGTCACATTTAAGATGAGGTCGACTCTAAAGATATCAGCAGATTTTTGACATAATTTTTAACCATAAATATTTATTTATTAGAAATCTCGACTACAGAGCCATCTAGTGGATTTATTTTTCGTATATGTAGGTATTTCTCATCATAAATTCAGTATACATTTAAAATTTTTCGTACCATGGCCCTGAGGAATATATTCCCCAAATTTGGTTGAAATCCGTTCATTACTCTGTGAGCCAAGTTTTAACTTTAAATGTATGTATGTATGTATGTACATAATATCAAATTTCTCTATGATTTTTCCAAATAAGTTCATTCCACTGGGGAGGTTCAAGCGAGTTTCTTATTCACTGTGATGGTAAGGGGGCGGGATCAGTCCCCTTGTCTCCGCTACTGTTGGTTCGGGACTGACTTGGTCGCTGCCTTCGCTATGAAAGCTTGTTTCATTTGATTCAAAAATATGTAATGTTCTTGGATTCGTATTCCCGCATTAGTGTGTAACGTATATCTTCTTTTTAGCTAATAAAAATTCCGGTTAGCTGTCTCAGTAGTTACCGTTATACATATGTCAAGCAATAACTCTGGTAAGTTTTGTTGGGGATAAGACCTATTTTGGAAGCAAGCAAACTTTCCTTTTCAACAGATGCACAGTTATTGACCTGCAGCAGTTCGGTTAAAGCTGAGGCGTGGATCTCAAACCATCTCTTTCTCAACTGTTACAGGAATCATCTCTTTACATATACCTAATTGGGAATCTCAGTGTCATTTCTGCAGACTTGACTAAAGAGGTACCTTTCTTAATAGACTATTCGCTCTTTCGTTTCCTTTAATGCTGACTTAGACCGGAATCCTGACAAGAGAGGTGCATATTAATTGAGTTACCGACAAGAGTCCAATATTGAATTACTTCAGCAGATGCCATATCTTAGAACTCCGGCTTGGAAGACGCAGCCATGAGATCTTGGCGTTAGTGACTGGACGACATCAAGCTCCCTGGAATAGACCCAAGATTCGAACCTGTACTCCAAGGTGGCTTACTTATCAGTGACTTCGTGCCTTTTCTTCTCTCTTCTGTTCTGATATGCTGCCATGAAGCCCATGGTTTCATTTGAGATCCACATGATAGAATTCATGAGGGTTTTTTGGAACCAACTAGGTAGATACATACATATGTTTTTCCCTAAGACCTCATTTCCTACAGTTCCGATTGGATCGGTCCACCTACTGAATTCACTGGAATTTATTTTAAATACAGATCATTAGTCATTTTGGAGTGACTTTTCCGCTGCCATGTTTGCGGTGTGTTTAGGTCTTTTGCTTTAGAGTTTTAGGATTAGCACAGCCAGTAGCATTCGCTACCGGTTTCGATGATTCTCTGGCTGTTTTTTATGCGTCTCCTTGTTATCTTTCTCCACGCTAGTTGCCACGGGTAAGCCAGATTTGCTAAGTCACTCATTCTCAAAGCAGGGTCGTAGTGAGGAAGCACTTACCGACTTAGTTCAACCATTGGCAGTCACCTAAGTACATTTATTACTATCCCCTTACCATCTCTTTAGCTTAGAGATGTTTTGTGTGTTAGAGTGTTATAAGGGGCACCCCTTTACTTGTTTCTACGTACGAAATAAAGACATCCAGGAAAATTTCAAAACTATAAACAAATTTGAAACAATTTTAATTAAAAAAAACTCAAAAATTTGGTAAAATGTTTACTTGAACCAGAGGAACTTCACATACTATTGAAAATTAATCATGTAAATTCATTAACTCGCCGGGTTGTAGCTGGTCAAAGTAAAAAATTTGTAGAAATTTTACAATTAAAAAAAATTTAATTTTTTCAAACTCTGGTAGCGGCCTCTAAGCTTTTTTTTTAATTTTGAAATAATCGTGGACGTTTTTAATTTGCACGTGGGTGACCAATAATGTTGATAACATAAGGTTAACAACTGTAAGGTGGTACTAAGAGATATAATAATAAAGAATTCGAAAACTTGACTTATGTTTTCCAAGAGTAACTAAGAATTAAGAAAGCTTTTCCAAGAATTGTTTGAAAACCTTGACCTTGACGCGGAGGCTATTAAGTATTTGTTTTTTGGATGCGATGCGCTATCGAGAAGAAGATGGAAGAAACTCATCGTTGGAGATAAACCAGTTGTTTTTGTTGCCATAAAATATAATGACATCGACTATATCTTTAGATTTCAGATCATAACCCAGTACGCCGCTTTCTTACCTAAAAGTTCCAACTGGGTGTGTTACAATTTGCTAATAAGCCATACCTACATACTTACATTGATATATGCAAATTACCTACACATGTGTATGTATGTTTGCCCCTCGTAGCTAAAAGAAGGTAAGTATACACACTTACTGAATGCGAATAAGTACTACCAAATGACAGATAGCAGTCAGGACTAAAGTTGGCTTTTAACGAATGGGCGTCTGTAGCAGACAAAGCAG